AGGGGATGATATTTATTTTACAAACATGCTGAAAACATGTCTATGTACTAAAGCAACTTTAACCTTATACTGAAATCATAAACTGAGCAGTAAGAAAATATCACTAAGACTCACTCTTTGTGTTTAGGCAACAACAGTTTTATCCTGCATGTCTCCATTGCTCTTTGTTTCCTGAGCATTATCACCTTCATGGCTGTCATCTACTATTTTAAGGTCCACAGTGACAGGTATGTATGATAGGGTGCTAGGGAAAGGTTGTCTAGTGCTGGAAGAAATCTAGATTTCTAGAGGAATAAAGCCCTTCTTCAGATGCTGTAGTGGTCTGTCAGCATCCCTCTTGTTTAGATCAGGGGGTTGGTTCTTCAGTACAGTACAATTTAGTACAATTCCACTAACTGCAAATTGCGCATCCTTCCAGAGGACTCTGAATTTAACCTTCTGCTTAAGCTCCCACAAGTATGACAGAAGAGCTCTAAAGAATCTCAGGGTGCCATAATTTCAGGATCAAAAGTCAAGGAGAGGCATGAGAAGACTTTTTTTTGGCTTTGCTTTTCATGACAAGAAAAATAAATGTTTCATGAGCTGTGATACTGTCCAATGAAGGAACTGGCTTCAAGAATTGTTTCCTTTTTCACAGACTGTGCCACCAAACCAAGCCTCCTGAAACTGCTCCTACACATGCCCCTCAGGTAAGGAGAAGGATGCAGATTAAACCATCACTAAATCAGCTGTCTAATCAGTGTTAATGAAAATTAGCCCTACCCTAGCCAAACTAGGACATCAAGGATCCTCTCATACCCATGAAAATATGATGTACAAAGGGAAAACATTTGATTTTTACTCTCTACTTTCAGCAGGTGCTATGGTGTCTTGTATGCTTGCTCTTGGCTCTGTCTCAGGACAAAACAAAGCCTACCATTTGATTTGGGGCATACATTAGAGGCATATTCCACCAGCAAAGGCTCAGCAACTGCCACCCTTTATCTTAGCAGGGGGTGAATCCCACCACATCTCCCTGGTCCTGTGAGATACACTGACCACAACTGCTGTACAAACAGTACTTGGGAAGGGAGGGAATGAAGAAAGCTCTTAGCAAGCAAGAGGATTAAACAACAATATTAATAGACACAGGGGAAAAAGGAATATCCCTTTTGGTGTCCAGAATGATAATGTAGCAAGGTCTGAAGGCCATCCTTTATTTTGTATGCTCAATCCACAAAGAACCAACCATTTTATGAAACAATGAAAGCTGAGGTATTCCTGACTTCATTTGAATTTCCAGTGCTGTTAAAAGCTTCCCATGTAGCTGAGCAATCAGCTCTGTGTCTCTACTCTCTTCACCTTCCAAATCTTTGACAGAAACAGCAATATTTGTTCTTTGGTAGAAAAAGCAATGGAGGCTTTTTTTCTTGGATTTGAAAGGCATAAATATGAGAACACTATTTCCAATTCTTCAGTCCAGACAGAAGGCTTGTAGAGTGTTGCCAAACTAAACTGCTCTTTGTATTTACAGCTTTTGGTTTTGTTTTGCTAGGATGACACAATGGAAGTGGAACCTTATACTACTTATGTGCAGAAGGAAAATGCAATTTACAACTCAGTGTCTGATCTGACAGTGGGGCAGCATCTTCCCCAAGGACTGCTGCCAGCAACATGAGTGATGCAACCACACTGGAAAGGGAAAGACACTTTATAAAAGACTGGTTACAGAAAGAGACTTCTCAGAGGATTTCTTCATATTTTTGGGGCAACATAGCTTACAAAGTCTGTTCAAACACCTATGCTTGCTGATGAGTCTGTATGGTTCTTTTTTTGACCCTTGTTTTTCTTCCCTTGGGAAAGGAAACAGGTTTCTTGTTACTCCTTGGGAAAAGATGACACCCCATGCTATAGTTTTTCCTGGAAAACCTGTTGGGATCAGTCTTCCCTTTGCTGTTCTTGGCTTGGAAATCCTAGTTTTGTCAGTCACTTCTAGGCATTACTTTGATGCACTTGACACTATGTTACATGTATTTGGGAGATTGGACAAATGTTATGTCTGAACTAAAATTAAACACTCCTCAATCAACAGCCATTTTTTTTCTAAGTCACAAATTACAAACAGAGTGGCCTGAGCACTGATCATCACAGAACAGCCCAAATGGCAGAAGATACCAGTAGGGGAGACCTTTAATGCCCCAGTTCTGAAAATGGAAATGAGTGGTGAATTTAGAAGATCAACCACTAAGAAACTTCACAAGGATGATTAATTTGCTTGTTAGGTTCATATTCAGTATTTCCACTAAATGTGTTTGTTCTGTGTTTCAGATTATTGTTATTATTGTTTTTCCATCAGATTCTCTGGAGATATGGCAGTCCTGTCTTTCTTAAGAGCATTGTCATTAAGATACTGTAAAAGATTTATGTTACTCAAATCTGGTAAGCTATTTTGAAAAGAAACAAACAGCAAATATTTCACAAAATGAAACAAGTTCAAATATATCTTCTATAACTGTGCAATAATAATAATAATATAAAAAAGGATAAAATGTTTGCTAATTTTAGTATATTTATTTTAACTACCACAACTGTAGATTTTTCCATTTGTATGTCCAGATGTTTTATTGATATTTTTAAATATATGTGCAAGTTCACCTTTTTTGTGTGTAAATTAGCTTATATATTTCAATGTGTCTCATGTTGAGGTGACTTGTCACCTTCCTAAATTATCCTTTGGGAATTAATCAAATAAATTGTCTTTTATATACCAGCAGTTCTCAAGACTTTTGGGATTGATACCTTACTAGTTAAAATGTGAACTGGCTTTATAGGAAGAGTAAAGAAACCCATTT